GGGGTTGTTTTGATAGTTATGTGTAACTTTGTAAAGTGAAAAGATAATCATTCAACATTTTTATAAAATCTCTTATGTTTTTAAACCGAGTTTTACCTTACTGTATTCATTTTTGAAAATAATTGGATAAAATATTCCATACATGTCCAAGAACGAATTCGATGTCGATATCGACGATATCGACAATATTTTGTCGATATCGTATCGAGATCCTGATCGGTACTATTAATTGAAAGTACTTGATGCCTATAATGAGACTTGGTGCTATGTCATTTTCAAAATGAAGTATAACATAATTTTACAAGGTCACAAGTTATATAGATATTGATTCTTTATCGGCACGAATATGAAAATATGACATACAAAGGGTTAGGGGTTGTTATCGTCTTGGGTCAGGTTTTAAGTAAGGTTTTGGGTAAGGGTGAAAGGTGGTAAAACTGTTTTTAACAAACATGATTCGATATCGATACGATATCGTCGATATCGACGATATCAACAGTAAGGTCAACTTATTAATCTGAAAGTAAATATGCCCAAGTATTGCATTAAGAAATACAGAAGTTAATGTCTTGGGTTAGGTTAAAAGTAAGGTTCTGTGTTAGGGTGAAAGTTGGTAAAGCATTATGTTTTTAACAATCATAATTCGATATCAAATCGATATCGTCGGTATCGACGATATCGATGGCAAGTACAATCTTCGTAAAGGTCAAGTATTTAAACATAGACACACATAACAAGGGTTGAGCAAACATGATTCGATATCGAAGCGATATCGTCGATATCAACGATAAGGACACTAATGGGAGATCTTTATAAGTGATAGATTTCAAGTAAATCACATGTTAAAAAAACAATATTTAGGGTGGAAACCATAATCCTTTGAACAATCATGACTCGATATCGGTTCGATATCGTGAATATTGACAGTAAGGAAAACTCCTTAAAACAGAAAGTATTCTAATATAGACACAAAACTAGAGAAATATTATAGTAAACTATGAAAAAGTAATCTGTCGATATCGTAACTACATCGTGTCTTGAACATAACTCAGATATACAAATATTGGTAGTTTACTGCTTGTTGCGTTTCCTTGTGTGTCACTATATATCGTAAATTATTAGTTCAGTATCAAACGAATATTATGATACTTATTAACTTAAAAACAAAGGACTCTTATTAAAAAAAATCTGTTTAGCATTTTGTTAATATGCAGAGTATTTATAAATTTAAACGCAGCATAAATCAGAATCTATTTTAATGACACTTTGAAAACTCTAAAAAAAAATTAAGATTTATTTAATGTAAAAATCGATTGCACACTTAGGACTTTGAGGAAAGGAACAAATACATTACTTTGATACAAAGAGAATACTGATGACCAGTAGTAATAAAACAACCAACACACTAAGAACCACCACCAAGACTGAGCCTTCATCTGAATCTTCTTTATTATCCCTTTCTTCTGAAAATAAACATATCTTTACGCTACATGCATAGAAAATTATAACAAGTCAATTGGCAATTAAAATAGAAAATAATTTGTCATGTTGACTCGAGTTGGAATTATAAGGACAACATAATATTCTATGCTAGATAAATGCTAGATTAGACCCAGAAGAAAGCCATGATGAAGAATTGAACTAAATGTATAATTTAGGAAAAGAAAGAAAAAAAAATGTGGACGTCTTTTCAGCAAATGTTAATGCATATTAAAATCCCACCTACCCAATAAAAATCTGTAATTTGAGCTTCCTAAAGAAATTGAATTTATATTTCTTTGAACTTAATCTGTTGTACTTAGTCAAAATGACGTCATGGCTTAGAGGAACAATTATTGCACTCAACTATATATATTTATGTTATGACAATAGCAACATTCCAAAATCCCAGCTTTCAAATACATAAGTTTCATGTTAAGTAAATTTGTAGTATTAATTCAGTATATCATATTTCATGGAGCTAAAATGATTACATCTATTGCAAAGTTATGTCTACTTTTTTTTGGCACATCAAGATAGTGAACATTACGCATGTAAACATGTTAATAATTTAAGAAATCATGATTATTGCTCATGAAAATGCATCTTTTACGCATGCATCCTTAACGTAGGCATGTTACTTTTGGACGTTTTTCGTCACTCCAAACTCATGTAAACTTAACACTAAATTAAATCAGTCTTTATTACTATTACACTGACTTACTTAATCGTAGACCTGTAAAGTGCAGTTTATCTTCAGTGTCTCATGGATATATTTCAAACACCAGGGAAGTGTCAAGTAGAGTCGACATTTCGAGTTATTTTGCAAAAACGGATATATGTCAATACCCCAGAAGCCTATAAAAATTCTGACAATCCCATATTGTTCGAGATAGCAGAATTAATTGTGTTTACCTTTAGGGACATCCAACACGGAATTTGTACTGCTTACCACTTCAGTTCTCCTATCTACAGAAAACAGAGTATATCTTTTATATATCAATTGAAATAAAGCAATTGATTACAAGTATGTCATGTATGTGCACAATTGCAATTTAAAGCAAAATATTTACATTTGCTGTGTTTTTCTACTAAGCCAACTGTGAAATTGATTTGAAAGTCATTTTTGTGTATACTCAAAGAATATATACACGGTGAAACTCGCGCTAAAGTGACGTCACAATGAGGCTACAGAGACGTTGATAAAAATGTAACAATATAGGGCAGCAGGAAATTCAAATATTGAGTATATCATTAACGCCTTTAAACTTGAAAAATGTAAATATAAGGAATGTTTTTAAGTTTAGTGTGAATTATTGATATGTAAATCACACAGACTTGCACGTAGGCATATTTTTCATGAAGCGCTAGCGCACTTCATGAAATATGCCTACGTGACAAGTCTGTGTGATTTACACACCAATAACTCACACAAAACTTAAAAACATTCCTTAAATAAAGACAAACATTGGACTGTGCATCTTTTCTTCATTTGTATACAGCTGTTCTGAACTCAAGAAGAACAGTTCTGTACTTACTCTTAGTTACAATAAGGAAATGTAATATTTTTTACGAAATGAGAAAAAAAAGACACAGAAAAGAATATGATAGCAAGGTAATTAAAATAATGGTTTGATTTTACATAAATATCTCAACCTACAGTCTATTGACATTTGAAGTTCACAATTCTCTCCATTATTTCCCTCTCTACAGCTATCACAACTTCCGGTCACCTGGTCACATGTCGTATTGAGACACGTTGTTGGACATTGATGTTGACAATAATCACCAAAGAAAGGTCCACGGCATTGCTTACATACACCTGATATAGGATTGCAGGATAAACACGCCTTTTTGCATTTAGCACAATTTATTCCATAATGCAAAGCTGGACAAACTGCAATAAATTTAATTAAAATGAGCAGCATAAAATATAATAATAGAATTTTTAGTGGGCATGCTGAAAAAAATATCAATGAGGAAATCCATTACTGGTTAGTTTTGCTAACCTTATTACATGTTACATTACTGATTACTGCTAATTAAAGAGAATTTACTTACGTATAGGATGTACTTCAAACAGTCTAATCGGTCCCTTATCTGTCCTTTTTATTGTGATAGAGTTTCCCTTCATTTCTCTTTCACATTCTACGATAATCTGGTATTTTGTAGAAGGGTTATGTAAATTAAATTCACTGCAAATTGTCGATTCATTGGAGACGAACACCCCTTCATTTGTTATATGCAATTCGTAATTTCCTAGTTGAATGCAGAATTGAAAGTTATACAGGAGGAAATTCCATCAAATTTCTGAAATTTCACAAATATCAGTAAACTAATATTATAAAATACCCCCTCTTATAGAAATGAGTATCCATTTTATCGCGTATATTTCCTCCATTGTCATATACCATGTTGCATTTTTTCTTTCCTCTGTTAAAATGTGAGAATCTAGATTACCGTCAAAAGCATCCTTTCCATTTAAATCAACAGATTGTGTTTTTACCTGGATTTTTTTCAAGGTTGTAAAATCTAGTCATGAAAAGAAACAAATTATAAAGAGCTTGTTGTTCCTTGTATATATATGGACTGGCCCTTATGAAGAGCTAAAAAATAAAGAACTCTTATATTCAAAGTAACGCATTGTCCTTTGTAAAAAGAAAGGAAACAAACCCCGAATAATTCATACCTATTGACTTAACTTCATTGATTTGTATAGCACCATCATCTACTCGTCGTAATATAATTTTGTTTCCAAGAACAACTCCAGAGGGATCGCAAGTAACAACCTTTGTCTTACTGGTAATATTGCAAGCTATTTCAATCTGTTTACATGTTCGAATTTTAGACGTGTTTAGTTGTATATGGACATCATACCTCCCTTTGAGAAGAAGAAAAAAACAGCTAGGAAAGTATTTGCATTGAAAAAAATAAAGATTTTCTTATCAAATATGCAAGCATACAAGCAAGCATAGGATTTAAAAAGCATACAAATGTAAGTTTTTAGCCTCATAATAATTTCATGAATACCACAACTAATGCTGAGGAAAATCCAGAAGATTTCATGAACCCTTTTAAGAGTCATTGACCACGTCTGATTTTTACTGTCCATGGTAAGAGAATATGTCTCCATGTCGTCATCACAAGCATTATTTGCCGAATGTGATCCATTTGTAGACGACTGTTGAGCTTCACATCTTTGAGAGTCAACTTTCAGACAATCCCCCCCCCAAAAAAAAGAAAAATGGTTTTGGTATTCGTATGCAGTTTTTTCTTTACCTGATATTTTGTTTTATATTTTTTAAAATACAATTTGCATGATTATGACTCATGTACAGCTTGTATGTTTATTTTTTTAAAGGTAGATGTCACATGTTTCAATACTAAATCTTAGAAAAGAGTAAAGCGTACCTTTTATTAAACTCACAAATAGTATTGCACCGCAGTAGTACATCCATAGATTGAAGATCTTTGGCACTGTCGTTATCACATGAGAGTATTTGTTCCCCATCAACAAGCATGCGATCATCAATGCAAAACATTTAAAAAACTAAGAAAGTTTACTCTGCTTAAACTAACTATTAGTGTTTCCGTGTGTGGAATGCAACATAAATGTTAATAGTTTGTTTCTCTTTTAAAACTACAGTAAAATGCACGAATGACGGAAGAAAAAAAATCAAATTAGAATTTTCAATTCCTTAAATTTTATGCACACCATGTCTATTCTTATACATATATTTTCGACGATAGTAACATATTAATTGGATGTATAAAAACGGGTTAGTATAACCAAATCTGAATTCCCGGAGGACGAGCTCAACATAAAAATACCGCCCAAAGTAGCCTAGTGGTAGGGTGCTCTCTTCGTGATCAGGAGGTTCGGGTTCGATTCTTGTTCGCCGATTCAAATCTAAGACGTAAACATCGGTAGTGATTGTTCCTTTGCCAAGCAACGGACACTAGAAGTGAAAGAAATGGTGTCTCTATATGAGTGAAAAATTTTCGAAGTGGATGTTAAACAACATCCAATCGATCAACATTATACAAGAGATGTAAAAATTAGGTTCATAAAGCCAAGTGTGTTTTACTTTAGAACATCCAGAGATTTTATACAGAATTTAAATATTCAATAACATCTTCTGATGTTAGGAAAGCAATTCGAAAAATCAAATGATATTTTCTTGTGAATTTTTATGAATGTAATGCTTATTTGGAAAATAGACATAAATTTAATTTTCTTTAGATTTAGAAATGAAAATCGCATAATAAATATTTTGCAAATATTTAAAAAAAAAATACGTTTTACATAATCCACATAAACCTACATATAAATCCGATAAATCTATCTATCTATCTATCTATCTATCTATCTATATATATATATATATATATATATATATATATATATATATATATATATATATATATATATATATATATATATATATATATATATATATATATATATATATATATATATATATATATCCAAATCTTCTTTGTGATACGCTTTGCTACGCTAAGCAAATTCAATCTATTTAAACATGTAAATCTTGACAAGGAGCACAAGGCGGGTATGACCGGTCGGCAGGGGATGCTCACTCCTCAATGGCACATGATCCCACCTCTAAATTTTCATAAATCGTTTCATTGAACTTTCAAGATTGAATATTGTTCGTTATCTTCATATTTCATGTAACGATATGTATTATGTAACAATACATATAATTTTAGAGAGAATTTCGGAAGAAAACCTTGTAAGTTTTCTTACTACAACCATATATACGTTAAAGCTGATTTATATCTTTTTATAAGCGTACTAAAACGTAAAGTAAATTATAGTTGACATGATACGTTTAAATACATTAAAGCTTATTTTCATGACTTTATATATCGATAATGTACATTGTGGCATACTTAGACATAATCATGAATAAAAAGAAGATGTGTTTGTGAAACACTGATGCCCCCGTATGGCATCTTATAGCTAAGGTTAAACTTTCTCAAATGCAAATCAAATATGTTGGTACCCAAAGAAAGGTCTTGTCTCGATGAATATACCTGTGAAATATTAAAAGCTCCAGCAGCAGCCATTGAATAGATATGGAAAAGGTTAACGTTTTTTCAAAAGTATGTCAAACATCAAGGTCTAGGTCAAATGGTCAAAATTGATGGTTCCCAAGGAAAGGCCTTCTCCCCAAGAAATACAAGGGTGAAATATGAAGCACCAATCATTCAAAAGTTATGAACAAGGTTAAAGTTTTGCAAAAGTAGGTCAAACTCCAAGGTCAAGGTCAAAGGGTCAAAGCTGTTGGTATCCAAAGGAAGGTCCTGTCACAAGGAATACATTTGTAAAGTCTGAAAGCCTTAGCACCAACCGTTCAAAAGTTATGGCCAAGGTAAAAGTTTTGCAAAAGTAGGTCAAACTCAAGGGTCAAAGGGTCAAAGTTATATCGAAAGGAAGGTATTGTCACAAGGATTACAAATGTGAAATATGAAAGCCTTAGCACCAACCGTTCAAAAGCTAAGGCCAAGGTTAAAGTTTTTGCAGACAAACAGACAAACAGACAGACGGACGGACAGGGCAAAAACTATATACCCTCGAATCTTCGATACGGGGGCATTTTTATATTGACTTAAAATAACTGTGTCTCATCAAGGTGTTTATGAAAAAAAATATAAGGAATATGTAGAGAAATGAAAACAAATCTTTTTTTTTAGGTTGGATATAAAGTTATTTTTAAATAATTTAATTTTGTTTGTATTCTAGCCTCTGATTGGCTAATATCCAAAAAGGAACACAAATTATTTCTGTATAACCTGGTTTGGTATGGGGACCCCCCCCCCTGACAACCAGCTGAATCATCTGTATCCTTACAATCCTCTCATTTCCAGTCCTCGGGATTCATGGAAAGATTAAGATTTAATAAATGTACCTTTAACTTCAAACAATAATTCGATCTTACCACATGTAAACAAATAACAAGGCGTCTAGGCCTATGTATCAGTTTTTACCTCCCCTCGCTTCCCATCACTTTCGTTACTTCCGTTACTACGGTTGTATTATTGAGGGGCAAATTTGAACTAATAAAAAACAATGAAATTTTACACCCATAGTTATTTAATGATTTTAAAGTTAAATTATAAGGAGTGACTCTAATTCTTGGCCAAATTATTCGAGTATAACCTGGTTTGGGTCAGTTTACGCTGTTTTATAATCCGCTTCGCGGATTATAAAGCGTAAACTGACCCAAACCAGGTTATACTCGAATAATTTGGCCAAGAATTAGCGTCATTCCTAAATTCGTTTTGTTATTTTGCAGTCGTCAACCAGGAAATCACTCTAAGCAATATGAAACTTGAATTTCATAAACTATTCATGTACGTTTTACCACGGCTCTAGAAGTTCCTGGACGTCGAGAGGATAAATAATTAATCAAACATGAACAACAATATGATCAAGATGTCAACATCTTCATGTTTAAAGCAAAGTATGAATCAAAGCATAATTATAATTTAGAGCAACATAAGACATTAGCCAATAATATATATTTTATATCTTTATTATGGTCATCATATGATATAAAGTTTTGAAAAATTCTTTTTAACATAAAGTAGGAAGTAACTTAATTTAGACTGCAATGCACACATGTGAAGAAATAGGGAAATGAGGATGAAATAGAAAAATCCAATGTGAGTTCTTTTTAGTTAACTTGATCATTCCTACTCGTATTGAAAACGTCGATATTGGGTCAACCAGCAAATATTGCTTAAAATAGTGAGAAAAGGGAAAAAAAAGAAGATAACGAACGGTGATCAACCTCAAACTAACCTATAAATAATACTAATCTGGCAAATGGACATACATGTAAAACACAGACCCCCCAGAAAGTCAAGGTGTGGAGTTAAGTGCCTAAGAGGAGCGAGCATCCCCTGACGACTGATCACACCCCACTGAACCTATGTATTGACAAAATATTCCGTAGTTAAATTTAACAGAAAACGAAGGCCTAACAATTGGTTTGAAATATGTTAAATATGTTGGTCCAAATATGACCCAATTAAAAATTGTATTTTTAACATGACCATCATAAGGACCATAGAATTTAATGAATGATGCGCGGGTATGTTAAGGAAGCATACAAATCGTTTCTCTGGAAATTAAGACTTTTTAAAGAAAATAAAGTTTCGTAATTTATCAAAGTCGCCGATATAACGTAAACTATTATTAATTATTGTATAAAGACAACAGAGTGTCTGAGGCCAAGAAGTGCACCACCACAACGTCATTACGTGACTGCTATTAATAGCAAAATATTCCTCAGTAAAAAAGTTAACAGAATAACAATACCCCGGGGTTTGGTAATTTCTTTGAGTAAATAATATAGTTGAAAAACATCTCTTATGCCTAAAAATTGCTGCTAGAATCCCACTGTCCGGTCGAGAAAAGAATTATTCCACATATTCGCACGAAGCCTTACCCAATGTTTTGCATTTTATACATATAACCCGAGATATTTCTTCAAACCAAGTTTACTTCACGTTTTTAGCAGCACTTTCAAAGTTTTATAGAACGCAAGCTTTCGATATGTACAAATATTAGGTTTTGAGTATCCAGCTTAGTGTTGTTCTTTTGCATTATTGTTGTCACGAATGACAGAGGAAAGGCCGTCCGGGATACGAAAAAAGCTGTCTGTTTTCAATAGAAGATATAATCAATGAACATAAATAAGCATACCTGTTTAACAAACTTTAACTTCACATGAATCACAATATTCGCGGTATTTGCTTCTAAACCCCCTTTTTAACGTGCCGTCTTAGCCAAATTCTCGTTACACAACATGACCAATTCTCAAGTTACTTGTTGAACATATATGACGTCATCGGTCGGAGTTTTTAATTCAAGTGACAGATACAGCATAGAGAAATAAAAACATTTTATTTTGTTTATATTTGCAAGTTTCTATTTAATTCAGGAGTAAAAATTATATCTCCAAATAGCAGTACTTAGAAAACTTGTGTTCTAAAATTGACGTCATCTCGCCTACTATGACGTCAAATTGCATTACTAATTGAGTCAAATCAGATTATCTTAGTGCTTCCTTAGCACAGCTGCGTGACTTTAAACAAGGTTTTTGAAATCCTTGTAGCATCAACATATTTCTCGGTAACCTGCCTCAGTCTTCTTTAGTATCGAATAAGCTGGGCGACATAAACATCATATACAGGTGATAGGGGTATATAACTACAAAAATAAGGAAAGTTGACGATGAAAAACGTGAAGTATCTAATCAGTCACACAATAAAGTTGTTAGTTGTCCCTTGTCGTTTGTAGTCAGTAAAACATCCAGATATGAAACTGATTGGCAGACTCTGTGGTGTCTTTGATGTTGAATAAACTGGCATTTGTTCAATCGACATCTGAAAGGTTGTAACTAATGTTAATTGACAATATGTTGTCGATATAGCAAAAATTATGTTTCAAAGTATGCAGCGTAGTGTTAAACGTTTGCATCTTTGT